CACAGTGTTTAGGTAGAACCTTGGTTATCTGTGTGATCTGTCACTATCGTACAGTGAAGCTGTGGTTATATCTCTGTCACATTGTTTAGGTAGAACCTTGGTTATCTGTGTGATCTGTCACACTGTCGTACAGTGAAGCTGTGGTTATATCTCTGTCACAGTGTTTAGGTAGAACCTTGGTTATCTGTTACTGTCACAAAGAATTACCGTAGAACCTTGATAATCTCGAGTCGTCTGTGTTAATAGGCAATACATCCTTAATATCAATAAGGGTCCTTTGCATTTATTTTAAAAATATAGTCAAGATATTCACCAGACCATTTACAAGTGAAAAGGCATCTAACAATGAAAATGTTTATTATTTGAGATTGATTTTGTGCATTAGATGACATGTATACAGGATTTTTTGCTGGATATGTTGGTTGACTAAAATAAAATATACAAGCTTAAAATTTGTTTGGCGTTCCCGCCTGTTTAAAAGTTTTACAATAAACTAAATATGTCATTAATATACTAGTTTACAGAATTGTAGATTATTCAGCAATACAATATCAGACAGAAAATATAAGTCAGTTATTCAACATCAGACAGATTATATTAGTCAGTAATATAGTATCAGAAAGAGTATATTGGTCAATAATACAATATCAGATAGAGTATATTAGTCAGTAATACAATATCAGATAGAGTACATTAGTCAGTAATACAATATCAGACAGAGTATATTAGTCAGTAATAAAATATCAGACAGAGTATATCAGTCAGTAATAATATATCAGACAGAGTATATTAGTCAGTAATACAATATAGGACAGTAAATTAGTCAGTAATAAAATTTCAGACAGAGTACATTATTCAGTTATACAATATAGGACAGTAAATTTGTCAGTAATACAATATCAGACACTATATCAGTCAGTAAAACAATATCAGAGTCAGTAATACAATATCAGAGACTATATCAGTCAGTAATACAATATCAGAGACTATATCAGTCAGTAATACAATATCAGACTGAGTATATTAGTCAGTAATAATATATCAGACAGAGTACATTCGTCAGTAATACAATATAGGACAGTAAATTTGTCAGTAATACAATATCAGACCGAGTATATTAGTCAGTAATAAAGTACATTAGTCAGTAATACAATATCAGTAATACAATATACTCTGTCTGATATTGGCTGTCTGATATTGTATTACTGACCAATGTGCTCTGTCTGATATTGTATTACTGACAAATTTACTGTCCTATATTGTATAACTGAATAATGTACTCTGTCTGATATTGTATAACTGACTAATTTACTGTCCTATATTGTATTACTGACGAATGTACTCTGTCTGATATATTATTAATGACTGATATACTCTGTCTGATATTTTATTACTGACTAATGTACTCTGTCTGATATTG